AAAAAAAAGAGAAAATTAAAAAAAAAAAAAAAAAAAAAAAAAGGTGTGAAAGAAGTAAACAAAACTCAATGTGAAAAATTATTGTTTTTCTAATGTAAATATTATTATTTTTAAGGTTAAATTTCTGTTTTATATCTCTTAATTTATTTAATTTTGTCTCTCTATTTTTAAAGTTCCAATTTAGCCCCTTAATTTTATAAAGCGTTAGATTTTTATACACATATAGCAACACATGTTAAATTTTTGTACACATAGCAACACATGTTATTTTCTTATTGTGTCATGTATACAAGATATTTACGTCATGAGTCTCAATTGAACATATAAATGACCACATTGCATGGTTATAGAAAGTTAGGAAACCAAGGAATCAAATTAAATGAATCAAGGAACCAAAAATGTACTCTAACCTATTTGGGCTTTATCAATCCAATTATTTTTAAGATTTTATAAAATAAATTTTGTTAAGTGATTCTTGGAGTTATAAAATGAATGAAAAGTCTCATATTAAATACAGAAGAATATGTTTTATAATATATAAATGAAAAAGACTCATAAACTTGATACCTTAAAGTGTTGTCTTAAATGAAATTTGAATTCACTTGTATAATTTGTTCATATATAACTCATTAATTAATGGAGTTATTCATAGTGTCTAAGAGCAGATATTTAAGATAATGACTAAGGTCTAGAAACCTAACAAACAATGGAAGCAATTGTAAAAATATCTAGGTCATATTTGTATCAATGGTTAATAGTTAAGTTAAAGGTCCAATACATCAATATAAGCAGTGATGCAAAAATTTAGAGAATATTGGCCATGAAGATTAAGTTCTAAGGCCACCATAGTACCTATGAATGAAAAAGAAAATATATGACATGGTAGAGACTTGCACTTGAAGGGAAAATTGATGTTCAAATGTGAATAGAAATCTTACATTGGATGAAATTGGATATATTAAATAACATATAAGTGAAAAAACAAAACTCATAAAATTTAGTGTTTTAAAATTTCAGGTTAAGTTGTAATATAAACTTATTTATGAGATTTGCTCATTGTTCATTAATGGAAATCTCCTTGGTGTTAATCTCTCTTTTTATCTCCCAATAAATTAACAAAGTTGATGGTTTGATTAGGTGACCATTTTTTTGGGTATAATAAATTCAACTATATAATATCTTTTATTAAAAATCTTTTCAACAGTGTGAAAATCAAGTGACATATCTCGTTAATCTAAGGTAATAATGATGTAAATATTTATAACTTATTGTTGCAATAAACTGAAAATAAGTCATATACATATCATAAATTATTTTTATAATTCTCTCAAATACTTGCAATGTTCATATTATAATTATTTTTATTGTTTGAATGTATCACAATTCCTGTAGTTTTATATCGCAATATAAAATTTATTATTACCTATTTTCCGTGTGGTTTATTTTTTGAGTTCTGAATAACGTCTCCAATTATGGTATTTTTGGGTGGATATATATATATATATATATATATATATATATATAAACAGCGAAAGAAACTGACATTAATATGCTAAATTCGAATATATGAAAAATAATAATAATTTCAGAAAATTAATTAATATTATTCAAAAATATTTTAAAAAGTTATCCTTTATTAAAATTTAATATCAAATATAAAAAAATATAAAATCAATTAAATGATAACTTATTTAGAAACTAACATTCAATTTTCCCCCTGTATTGATGTGATAAAAAAAAAAGTAAGGGGAAAACACAGACAATAAGAATAAGTGATATGGAAGAGAAAATGGATAGATGGTGCTAATTTTTTGTTTTTTTTTTATTAATCATCCCAGCCATAATAATTATAGGAAAACTTTACGGTACGCATAGGTACCGGAACAGTCGCATATTTTTATTTTTTATTTTTTATTATAATTATTTGTTTTATTTTTATTTTAATTTATTATTTTTAATAATTTATCTTTATAAATTTTTTTATATCTTTAAATTATTTTTATATTTTTAAAATTTTATCTTAATGTAGCATCTATTATAATTAAATAATTTAATATTAATATTTTGTTAATACATTTTAATTTGTTTTAGTGTTAATTTTTTCAATTTATAGTATAAATTAGTTTTTCAATTTTATTATTGATTTTTTTCTTATTTTAATATTTTTATAATATTATTATATATTTTTTAAATTTTTTAATTCTATCACATATAAATAAAATTTGTTATGAAAATTAATCTTCTGATTATTTTTTTTGAATTAATCTTTTTAATTAATTCATCATCTATAAAATTTTGATCTAAAATTTATATTATTTTAAATTTATTTTTTTAAATTTATTTGTTCACATTTGAGGTACCCAAACTTTTCAATTATCATGAGTACTTTCCATAATTATAAGTATAAGGTTGGTTTATCCTCGTTGATTACACCTATCGTCGAATCATTTGTAACAACCTTTTGTTGTGCGATATATATGGTACGGTTGTTAAAAGTTATTACCTCATCATGTTCACTCTTGTTGCATTGGTTGTTCTTTTACACACTGGCCTTAGTTCAAATTACCACAATCGATTTTTGACCCTACTGTAATAACTAACACAACATTTACAGCTCATATTTCGATAATTAATCTTTTCAAGCCGTATTCTAAATACCTGTCAATTTAACTAGAGCATATAAATATTGCTTTTCTTTTCTGTTCTCTCTCAGGTGTTTGTGTTTGCATTTGCTGCAAACACAAACACAGAGAAAGGTATTGTTTTCCTTCTCAACTAAGGGTTTCATACAGAATGGAAGATTCCGTCATCAATGTCTTCAATGACACTAAAACTCATCAACTAGTAGTTTGTGTCAAGAATGATAGATCTGTAGGCTCTTTAGGTGTGTGGATTGGGGATAATCCATTCGACTTTGTTATTCCTATCACGTTGTGCCAAATCATCATACACACTTTAATCTCTCGATCACTTCATTATGTTCTCAGGCCTATTCGAACACCCAAATTCGTCTGCTGCGTCGTCGTAAGCTTCTCCTCTCTATTCTACTTTTCTCATACCTTAATTTTGTAATTTTAATTACTAGTCCTCAACGTTTATGATTTTCATATTATCTGGTCTTGTTTTTCGCATTCACATAATCATTTGTTGTTTCTTTAAAAACGAACACATTGAGTTATGTATTTCATGCAATAAATCAAATTTCTGAGTAATTCTTACAAAGACAAAACTCAGAAGTAATTTTTTGTTGTTGTTATCTTTCTCTAATAAAATTGGGATTTTATTACTTTAGTAATGTGTCTAAATGTATATTATTGAAATTTATGTTAAATATAAATATATATTATCAGATAAAAATTTTCATCAACTTGTAACCAAGTTTTGTCTTATAATAAAATGCATATTATATTATACTGCGTGCATATTTTCATGAGACAGAAATTGAGTAGCAATACATAAAATTTTACAGGCTGGAATTCTGTTGGGTCCAACATTCATAGGGCGCGAGAGAGCTATCGTGGGGGCTCTATTTCCGGTGAAACAATCTTCAGTTTTGAACACGGTTGCGAAAGTAGCCATTGCTTATTGGGTGTTCATCACTAGTCTCAAAATGGACGTAATGACAACATTAAAAGTAGCGAAACGTTATTGGCGATTTGGTGTAATTCCTTTCTTTTCTTCATTTTTTGTCACAGTAACCCTATTGTTTTGGTACAATCCCACCGTTGCTAGCAGAGGCAAAGTCCAAAACTTCCCCAACATCTTCACCTTGAGCAGTTTCGCTGTGGTGTCTGAAACCCTATCGAACTTAAACCTCGTAGGCACCGAGATGGGGCAGATTGCTCTATCTTCAGCCATGACCAGCGAGATATTGCAGTGGATCACGATGGAGATCCAGTTCAACTCAAAAGAGACCCCGGAATATATGCTTGTGCTTTTGATAAGTGTCAGCGTAATCGCTATGATATGTCTTTGTATTGTGCGACCAATGGTGAAAATGGTTATTGAGAGAACACCACCGGGGAAGCCAATAAAAGAAGCACACGTTATCATCATACTTCTGGGACCTCTAATGATGGCAGCACTTAGTGACGTATTTGGCATATATTTCCTTGTAGGACCTCTCTTCTATGGTTTTGTTTTACCCAGTGGACCCCCCCTGGCGACAACAATTTTGGAGAGAAGTGAAGTGATCATCTCACACTTTCTTATGCCTTTCTTCTACTTGTTCATTGGCTTAAGGACAGATATTACTGGAATTCCTCAGCATTGGCCTGTGGTTCTATCAGTTCTGGCTATCTTACTTGTCGGGTGCTTGGTTAAGGTTCTTGCATGTGTGCTCGTTTCTCCCATGTATAACATTAAACCCAAAAATGGACTCGTGCTTGGCCTCATATTGAACGTCAAGGGTATGGTCGAAATCATCTTTTACAGTAGAATGCACAAACTCAGGGTAATATATACATATTCTCTTATTTCCTTCTATATATTTTACTAGCGGTAGAAATGCAATCACCCATCTCCTTTCCATGCCCATCAATAAAAAAAAAACAATAAAAAAAAAACCTTAATTACACTTTTTTTCCTACATGTTATACAATTTTGCTGCTTAACTTTTAATATTTTACACATTTCGTTAATTGTATTAGTTGATTGTTAATATGACATGTTAATCTTTAATTAATATGTTTATTGTTGATGTAAAATGTTGACAAATCAAATAAGAACATATAATTAAGTGAAGTGTCCGTATATATATTGTATGAAGCAGTCAATATATCTAGTAAAAAGACCTCCAATGACAACAAATTAATATTTGATTTACAGGGTGCCAATGTCTTTTTAATCACATATAACTTTTTAGTGTATAGATAAGGAGATAGAAACTGGTAGGGGAAAGAAATTATTATATGTTACAAGACTAATGATATATTCTCACCTTTATACGCAGATTATTGATAATGAAGTCTTCAGCATATCGGTGATGTACGTGTTGTTCATAACATCAGTTTGCATACCCTTGATTAAATCCTTGTACAGGCACCGTCGGGTGCTGCAAACGCCATCCATACACGAAAGAGGTGTGAGAACAATCCAAAGCATTTTGGAGAACCAAGGGTTCAACATCGTGTCATGTGTTCACACGGACGAACTCGTGCACAGCATGATTGCCCTGATAGAAGCATGCAGCCCCACCATACAAAGCCCCATATCCATCTACGTGGTGCACCTCATTGAACTCGTTGGCAAAACCACACCGATTCTTCTTCCCATGAACGTTAACAACAGAAAATCTTTGTCGGTAAACTACCCCAACACCAACCACATTCTTCGTGCCTTCGAAAATTACTCCAACAACTCAAGTGGACCAGTAAGAATTCTCTCATACGTGAACGTGGCTCCATACAAAAGCATGCATGAAGCAGTTTGCAACCTCGCCGAAGATAGCTCCGTGCATGTCATCATTATTCCGTTTCACCAAAACGACAATTCTTTAAGTAACCACGTGGCAACCAAAGTTCGAGAACTCAACGCAAGCTTTCTCGCAAATGCGCAATGCACGGTGGGGATTCTCGTGGATAGATACTCGATGCTGAGTGGCAGTAGCTCCAAGGTTTCTTTCCACGTTGGAATCTGCTTCATAGGTGGAAAAGACGATAGGGAAGCGTTGGCATTGGGGATTCGAATGTTGGAGCGCATGAACACGCGTGTCACCTTGTTTAGGTTTGTTGTGGTCAACAAAGAACAACATGCGAGTTTTGTGGAGAAAGAAGAGGAGATACTAGAGAGAACGTTGGACGAGAGTTTGGTAGATGAGTTCAAGGCGAATAAAAACTTTAGTAGTGACTTTGTTAACGTGATGTACCACGAGATTGTGGTGGAGGATTGCATTCAGGTGTTGGAAGCGATTCGGGGAATGGAGAACGACTATGACCTAGTGATGGTGGGGAAGAGACATAGCATGGGGGATTTAATGGAAGAGGAAATGTCCAATTTCATGGATAATGCGAAACAGTTGGGGATTTTTGGGGACATGTTGGCATCAAATGAGTTTTGTAAAGGGAGAGTTCCAGTGTTGGTGATGCAGTGTGGTGAGAAACGGGTGAAACAGTTAGAAAATAAAGTTGTTCCTGGTTACTCCACCACTAATTAATCTTTTGGGACTGTTTTTTTGTTTATAACCCATGGTGTATTAATTAATTTTTTAATTTACATTTGTGAAACCTGTTCAAGCAATTGAGCTACATCATGGTGATTTTTTTGTTTTTGTTTGTAACCTATCTATTGATTGATTTGTTTATGTAGTTTGTTATAATGTATATTACACATTTTTCCTCGCCCCTTTATTACAAAATTTATAACACTATATTTCTCTCTCAAATGATGACATTTTCCCTCTTAGTTAGTTGTCGGTTTTCTCTTTGATGATAACTACATTAGCGTAAGATGTTTGCATTATTTTGATAAACATATGATATAAGTTGTATTAATTTTTATATTATATGTTAATAAAATTATGCTTGATTAAATAAATAATAAATTTTTTATTTGCGAAAACCTCAAATATGTTTTTTAAAGGATCTTTCAATTTTATTTTGTCCCCAATTTCATGAAAGAAGTCTACTAGAAAACAAAAAATGAGACATGATTTTTCATGCATACAAAAACCAATTAGGATAAATTAATAACACCTAATAATGAGAATATACTACATAACAAAAAAGTACAAATTTAAATTTTAACTCCCACTATACACATGGAGCAAAAAAATTTATAATGAAATGTTATTCTTTTATATCAATAATGCATTGTCAACGACAAAAATCAAAACAAATAGGTTTAATTAATAGAGAAGTTATTTCTCGTAACTTCTCTTAGATGTAGAGAGAGAATGATGATCTATGTTATAAGTTTGATTTCAAAATAAATACTCACTCAATAATATACAAACAGTAAGAAAAGTGTATGAGTACAAAGTTGATCCAAGGATAAGACTAACAAAATTCTCACTATAGGCCGTTAAAAAAATATTTTATATTAATATTTATATAATTTTTTCAAGATTTTTTCATAACTTAAAAGTCATTTTTTATATTTTTAAAATTTTATTTTAAAATATTTATCTCTAAAACTATATATAAATATAATTTTTTTTTAGGATCTATCTCTAAAATATATATATTTTATCCAAAGATTTTTTTTTATATAAAAAAAACTCACTTTATGACTTGTTTCGAACCTAATAATATGTTGAATTGAGCTAAGCGAGTATCCTATTTATTGGTTAAACCAGTGACAAAAACAACCACCACCACTTTTCAGATAAAAGTTTTTGTGAGTTGAAGCTTCCTTCTCAAGATTGTGTTTTCTTTTTTTCTTTTTAGTTTAACCCCCATGTCGCTTCTCAACTGCCTTCCATATTATTATTAGTCATAGACATATTTAGATTCTTTCGTTACCAAACTCTTGGACACAGAATATATTCTATGATGATGATTTTGTTTCCAAAGGTTGGAGGCAGCAAGCTAAAATGTTTATTTCTTCGGACATTTGTATATATCATTCTCATTTAAATTTAAATTTTCAGTTAAAAATATATGTCATTTTATAATTATAATTATAGTTTTTTTATTATTGAAATATAACAGAGAGGATTCAATTAATAGAAAATAAATCATTACAAAATTCAATATATTAAGCATATACTAATTAATATTGGTTTTAAAACATATAAATATAAAAACCCCTTAAATATCAACCCATATATATATATATATATATTAAATATGAGCTTTTATGAAAATGTTTTTAAGGATTTATTTTCGATTTGAGATTTTTTAGAAATTTTTTAATTTA